GGCCTATGGTTTGGTGTATCGGTTCTTATGTTCACTAATATATGCACACAATTATTCAGTAAATATAAAACACATATTTTTAATAAACTGCAGACAAATACAGTTATTAATAATCAAAACTTAATGTTATTTAATATAACAAATACAAGACAACAGATAATAAATAATAATTTAATGCATAATCGGGTTGAAAATCGGTTAACGAGTCGGTCAACAAAAAGTGCTGGAAATTTGTTTATTCACTGAACAATAACTAATTTTTTGTAGTACTAATGATAGTGTTTTAATACCTTAATTATCTCATATCTATTTATAATATAAAAATATGATTTCATTTCCCTGTAATATAAATACAGTAATTCAATACATGATTAAGTTTCTGGACCCACAACCCGTCGGTGAATCGTAAACCTAGCCAGTGATTGAATATTACTGATTAACCACATTCACAATTTAAATATTTTGCATATTAATAAAGTTGTAGTTATAGTATTTAATAATTGATAGCTATATTATTTTAAAGAAATTTAATTAATAATTTATGAACTATAAGCGGATTTTTAAAATCTCGATTCATCGACATTTACACTGTACTTGTATATAATATTCTATTATATATAATAAAAAATAATATTAATATTATAAAATATTTTCCAAATTAATCAATATTCATTATTGAGTTAACACAAAAATAACAATTAATTTAAAATAAAATAAAGCACAGATTATCAGTTTTTACTTTAGACATTTTATAAGTCAATTTTATTTATTAGTTTTATTTATCTTGTATTAAAGTCTATACATATTATTCCATAAGATATAAAACATTGTTCCAAACGTTTATAATTATATATAAAAACATATATAAATGTATGTAAAAGAATATTCTGTGGCTTTCGATGAGATGTATGTTTACGATGAAAGTGGTCTCAAACGGCTGTCTGTTGTACTTCATTGCCCTCCAAATCCTGTAATAAAGAGAAATAAAGTATAGATTATCTCATATTATATCAATATATCAATAATGTGTTACAGTTATAAACCGTTTGGGTGAGTGAGTGTCACCATTGGTTAACATTAAAATATACAGTACTGTACATCTTACCAGATATATACTGTATAAATCAATTTATAACCAAGGCTATATCAATATAAGTTCCTGAAAATTATCGATTTATCATTACTAAACATCTATGTAATCATTCACTGAATCTCAAAGGGGTTGGCATTTTAAATACTAACCTAATGTCTATCCCCAGAAATATAATAATACTAGTGATATAATCGATGCGCCAGGGTGATTGAAGTACAATCTTTTACCATGCTAATCCCATTCATGGGTGAGTAATGAATATTCAAAAATTCTTACATCAAATCTGAGTGTTTGATGGACTATAACTCCGGCGTCCCTTTGATCGTAGTATAAAAGCTCTTCCCTTTGGTCTCCATTTGTCTGCAGACAACCAAAAAAAATGTATTATAATTCACAATAAAAAAAAGTGATGATAAAAATTTTTTTTTTCATTTATTAATACTAAATATGACATTAAAAGTTATGAAAAATTATATATTTTCTATTTTGCATCCGTCTCTCTCTCTCTCTCTCTCTCTCTCGTACTCTAATATTCAGTCAAATATGAAATATGGAAATCAAATCAAAAGTCTGTTTTTTGATAAAAATAGTTGTGAGACTTTTTGATCCATCAATTCATAAATAAAATTCAAATTTTTAATCGGAAATCAATATACAATATATTTTATAAAATATCTAAAAGGGAATTTCACTAAAAATGCATGTTGTGTCAAAAATATATACTAAACACGACATTAAATGCATAAAAATAATTTACATTTTCCCTAAAACTCCACAATTAGTGAAAACTATACTTACATTTGGCTAATTGTTTTAAATTAAATTAAATGACATTAATTTAATGGCTAATAATTTATTACTATTAGAAATAGATTTGTACATCAAATAAGCGATTAAGTCAAAGAAACATAGATTAGTGTATTTAAGTTAAATGCAAAAGTTAACTAAAATCAAAACAAAATCAAAACAAAAGCATTTGAAAAGTTTTGGATCATAGTTTAATATAGAGTTTTGATCGTGATTTAATAACTGCTATTCAATTAAATATTAAACTGTCCATTAGGCAATTTTATATTTGTTAATTTAATTTATCAGTATATTTAAGTGTTCACAAGTGTTCATAATGTTCACTAGAAAATATAATGTATTATTAAAATAACATATAGAGTAAACTTTATATTATAAAATATATAATCTATATAATAAATAATTATATAATACCTGTCTCATTTTACGATGAGTACCATTAGGTATATACCCGTTAACTAATATGGACTTTGGTTTCTGTTGTAATACGGTTTCAATGATTGATGTGTTGGACAGACTCGTCAAGTCATCCCTCATATCGTTTATAATAAATAAATCGGTTTTTGAATCATTAAATGATTGTAAATCTGTATCAATAAAAACATCACAATTAAATTTAGTTAAATTAACACAAAAATTAAATCAATAATTATATAATCACTTACCGCACGGAATAACATCGGGGTTCTTATGACTTAATTCATCCTGGCTAGTTTGCTGGACAATACTGTACTCATCGCTTAGTTGACCAATAATTGTGCTAAACATATAGTTTTTAGACACAAAATACAACCATGATTTATTATACAAATATACGCCAAAGTAAAGTTATAAATTACTTTTGTTGCGTTTGTTGTTCCCGTTTATCCTTTTCCTCGTCCTGTTGTTTGATTTTACATATAATGATAACAATGAGCACAATTAGGATGAGCGACAGTAAGGCACCCACTATTACGGCCAGAATCGGGTCGTAGTCCAGCTCTTGATTGCCGGACACTATATAATACAACAAAACACCATAAATGTAAAACAGAATCACCATTATAAAGCATAAATAAAATATATAGACCAAATTAAAAATGATTTAACAATATATACATTGTATACCTAATTTAGTGTTGACAGTGGAAAGGGTGGACACGAGCATACGTGTGGGTGCGCTCATGCCTTTGGCATTAATAGCGTACAGATTAACAGTATATTCAGTGCCAGAGGAGAGGCCGGCGATGAAAAACAACGGCACCGACGATGCGCTCAGATTCTTCACGTCCGACTCAACACCGGAATCGGCGCCGAAGTGTTGGGCGAAAAATGTCTGCGACAGACCGGCGCTGTCGCCGGGCGTACACTCAATGGTGAGGGATGTCATCGTACGGTTGGCCACCGAGCAGTCCCGGGGCGGCTGTGGGGGCAAAGCGGTGGTGATGTGGAACAGACAGGGCTGGGCCTGTAGGCCGACCTCGTTTTTGGCCCAACACGACACGAGACCAAAGTCTTGAGCGCTGGCCGTACGGAACCGGAGCTCAGAGGTCAGGCCCCGAGCGGTGTAGTTGTCTGAGTGGAGCTCGTAGTTGTTGAATGTCCAGTAAAATGACACGTCTAGGGGCTGGGCCTCCACTGAGCACCGGAGCACTTGGGTTTCGTTCACAGTCATCGCCACCGTTGACTTCAGGGCACTGTTACGGCATATCGGGGTGTCTGTCGGGTGCCAGTGATCGTCAGTCAACACAAAAAACATATCGTTAGATTGAATGCTCAGTAGTTTATTAACAAAAATATAAATCAATAAATTATTCGCTAAATAAATCATCGATTAAACCACTGATTATAAATACCAGGGTATAAGACTCCGGNGAGTCTGTCCAACACATCAATCATTGAAACCGTATTACAACAGAAACCAAAGTCCATATTAGTTAACGGGTATATACCTAATGGTACTCATCGTAAAATGAGACAGGTATTATATAATTATTTATTACATAGATTACATACTTTATAATATAAAGTTTACTCTATATGTTGTTTTAGAATACACTATATTTTCTAGTGAACATTATAACACTTAAATATAATGTTAAATTAAATTAACAAATATAAAATAGCCTAATGAACAGTTTAATATTTAATTGACTAGCAGTTATTAAATCACGATCAAAACTCTCTATTAAACTATGATCCAAAACTTTTCAAATGCTTTTATTTTGATTTTGTTTTTATTTTGACTAACTTTTGCATTTAACTTAAATACACTAATCTATGGTTCTTTGAGTTAATCGCATATTTTATGTACAAATCTATTTCTAATAGTAATAAATTATTAGCCATTAAATTAATGTCATTTAATTTAAAACAATTAGCCAAATGTAAGTATAGTTTTCACTAATTGTGGACTTTTAGCAAAAATGTAAATTATTTTTATGCATTAAATGCAATAAATTTTATTGTAGTGTTTAGTATATATTTTTGAGACAATATGTATTTTTAGTGGAAATCCCTTTTAGATATTTTATAAAATATATTGTGTATTGATTTCCGATTAAAAATTTGAATTTTATTTATGAATTGATGGATCAAAAAGTCTCACAACTATTTTTTATCAAAAAACAGACTTTTGATTTGATTTCCATATTTCATATTTGACTGAATACTACAGTACGAGAGAGAGAGAGAGAGAGACGGATGCGCCAGGGTGATTGAAGTACAATCTTTTACCATGCTAATCCCATTCATGGGTGAGTAATGA